CACAGAAGTGGAAGGAGTACTCAGATGATTTACTCAAGTAAAAGTAGCAATACTACAGTATAAAAATGCTCAGTTACAAGTAAAAGTCCAGCATTCAAAATGGTACTTATTGTACTTGGAGAAACTCCCTCAGAGGGAAACTCTGGATGTTAGCCTTTGCAGACCATTTACATGCACACAAACCTATACAACACACTACAGGAAAGGGGAGAGCCCAAAAAGCACAATAGGGCCTCTTCAAAGCTTGGCTTTTCGAGTTTTAAATTGTAAAGGGTGTGAAGCTGTATCAGTTTTGTACCTATATAGCAGGTATTTATTGTCATTTTTGTGATTGTGATACAGTAATACATACTGATTACGTGACATTTTGTTCCATAATTTCACTTCTCTTGGAAGTTGGGCTTCTTTTAAAGGATTTCTCCCCATGTATGTCCATGTGTGCATTCAGTGTTTCACTCATAATTCCTCCTTCACATGAAAGAGACTGCCTGTAAAAGATGCATTTCGACCCTGTAATTCTTTAAGATGTTATCAGTGAATGTGAATGCGTGTGTCGCCACGTGATGACCCTGACCTTGTTGCCGTTGTGCAGGCTCATGCTGCTGAGGGCCGACAGCTTGGCCTCCAGGCTGTGGTGTCCCGGATGCTGCTGGTGGAGCTGCTCCCTCTGGATCTGCTCCCTCATGCTCCGCGCCTCCTGGATGGCCTTCATCACCGCGTCCTGGTCCCCAAACAGGGCTGTGGAGTTGAGGCTGGACAGGATGTCTGGAGGAGGGGACAGGAGAGATTACAATTAAAATGGGATGTCCCTTTGTATAGACAAACAACAAAGAGGCTTAAAGACAAGACAAGAGGGATCATATGAATATTGTATCTAAAATGATACAGTATTATATACCAAACAAACAAAGATGGCGCCGGTGATGATGGCTGCCGTGTCTTTTGCATCTCTCAAACTCTGCCGTTTTTTTGTTTTATTCAGTGTTTGATTACTTTTCGTTATGTTCATTCTATTTTATTTTATGTACTTGCACTATTTTATCCGTTTTATTGTGTTGCACTGTTGGAGGAGCCTGTAACCTAAGATTTTCATCGTCATAACTACACTATAGCTATGCACAAAAGACAATATTAGCCTTGAATCTGGAATCTTGAACAAGTAGGACACACATTTTTTTAATATGAATATTGTTATGAAAATCAGTCATGGTATTCCTTTTGAATCTTTGCAAATCAAGTACATTCAACTGTTCTTTAGACATGAAGCATCTCAGAAAACCTTGCAGAATAGTTCTACATAGTTTGCAACTATATTATAAAATGTCTTTGTAATATTTTAACAATGCTTGTATAGTCATCTGGATAGCAACTGTTCTTTAAATACTGATTTCCAGGTATTCATCAGTCGTCAAAGGTTTTGAGACAGATGCCGTTAATCCAGAACTGTAACTCTTAAAAAAACCTAGCTTGGTGAATGTGGTTTCATGTTGCTTGATGTGCAATATCAGGCAAGTGATAAGCACCAAATACTTAGAATGTCTGCATACAAATTCCTTTGAAAAAATATGTACAGATCCGTGTGAGCTGGTATTTTTCCAAACCTTTAATGGGGCTAAATATCTCTTAAGTTGTTTTCCAATCCACTTGTGTCTAAACATGTCACCCCCCCCCCCCCCACTTGTTTATGTGCTTCACACTTTTGCAACCCATTATGATGCCCATTTGAAGAATAAGGAGAAACAAATAAAAGGATGCGAAGTTTCCGTCGCCCTCCTTGTTTAATTAGCAGACGAGTAGGAAGCACTGTAATGCTTGGGTGGCCGTTAAAATGGGCAAAAAATAACTTTGCAGGGAACACAAGCGTCGCGTCCTCAAAGCCACTCCAGAGGAACTGAAATTGTTTTCTGGGGGGTTATAATGAGAGGGTTCAGATTGGCCTTAATAACAGATAGCAGAGGTAGGGGCATAAAAGGTCTAGCGCGGGCAGACAATGATGTGAGGAAGCTCTTAAAAACCAAATAACGTGTGCTGGGTTTCACTGCTTCCGCTGCTGGGGTTTTCATTGGGGCTAAATACAGGGCTTTGGACTCCTGTAAAAACACACACACGCAAACACACACACACACACACACACACATACACACGCAGGTCTCCTCGTGGGGTTGAGGTGTCTGCAGTCTATCGGTTTGTCTGTGTGTGGCGGCGCGGGGCAGGGAGGTGTTTGGGTGGGTGATGTTTTTGTTTTTCCGGTTGGAGGGAAGAAATAGTTTCACGCTGGAGCGAGGACATGTTTGCTCTGGATGGATGTACAGTGCAGATGGGAACAATACTTTGGTGTGTGAGTGTTTGTTTGTGTGTGAGTGCGTCAGTGTTTCCCCTCTGAGCTTGTTCTTGGCATGCCGAAGCAGCGTTTAGTCCGTGTGATTCTTATTGAACATGTCAGTTAAGCCAATTCTAATTTATTTTCAGCGCTGCTGTGCTTGGTGGCCCATTCTGTGTCCCCAGTGTTGAAGAAACGCTGTAAAAGTGTGTGTGTTTGGGGAGTAACTGGTTACATGATTATAACATGAATAGGTAACCTTTTACCCTTACAGTTACATAAAGAAAGACGTCATCAGATTACTGTTACATTTCTAAAACGTGGGGAATGAAGCAGGATTAGAGTTTTACAAAAATAAGAGCATAGTGTTTGTTGTAAAAGGATCAGATTGAATGTCTGTCTACTGTTCTGGAGGCTAATACTTTAAGTGTGAATCCACGCCTACTGCCTGCATTTGCTTTACGGTTTCACTTTCTTTGGTTCATATATTCTTTTTTTTCTTCCCACCGTGTTGGTTACGTACCCAGAGAGGTGTTCCTGCCCATGTTGGCGATGGGGCTGGGGATGCGGCCCTTGCCCATGCCTGAGGGGCTGGTCTTGTGTCCGGAGTACAGACTCTGTGTCGGGGACGTCGGGGAGCGAAGAGGCTCGGCTGTCTTGGGTCTGGCTGAGAGGTTCAATGGCTGTGTGGATCCTTCCTCCTGTAGATAATGGAGGCAAGAGTGTTAAAGAGGACATATTATGCTTATTTTCGGGTTCACATTTGTATTTTGTGCCTCTACTGTGACATGTTTACATGCCCAGTCTGCTCTGATTGGTTAACTGGCCGGCTCTGATGCCTTTGCAGACCATTTACATGCATAAAAACCTTTATAACACGCTACAGGAAAGGGAGAACCCCAAAAAGCATGCAGTAATACTGTAATAGGGTCTCTTCAAATGGATCAGGGTATCACAGTTTTGTGTTATCAAACAATCTAACCCTGTCTGTGGTAAAAACAAACACTTTGATAGGCGATATGTTGATGGTACGCTTAAGGACAGTGATTGGCTTCAGCCACCCCCTCAATACTGGCCCAATTTCAAGAAATGTTCTCCCTATTAGCCAATTATACACCACGAACATCGGAAAATAGGTTTTAGGTTGAAAAATACGGAAAATACCCGTTCAAGAATGCGAATCATTTGTGATACAGGCCTGCCAACGGTGTCACGCTACTCCAATCATTGACTCTATGTGAGCAGTTCACCATGAAACTGAGTAATACAGCAACACAGGTGTGGAAGAAGAAGCAAACAAATATTGAAATATATATTTTTCAGAAAGAAAGCATTTAATAGATTCATAGGTCTCCATCATGCTATTGCTAAACACACTAGAAGCTTCAGATTGTATAGAAGCGCATGTGTTGGTCACCAGTGGAAATGTATTCTCAATTTAAGATGACCACAGCCGCTGACTTTCAATATGTCCCAATCATCCTTTGAAGTGCCTTTAAATACTTAAATGTCTAGCCAGTCATCCCTATCAGGGGTTTGCCCATAAATACATTCCACTGCTAACCTCTGTGAACAAGACAGTTAAGAAAAGCTGCAGTGTACTTTCTTTCCCAAACAATGGGACCTTTGTGCAAATCCTCTATTCCTTATCAAATGTTCACGACCACATTGATCCGCATAAGGAATCCCCTGGAAAAGGAAAAGTTGTGTAACGCACGTCAACAGGGCTCTAGTGTTGGCAGCAAATGCTGTAATGAACATGGATCTAATTTGGAGCTTCAGCCGAGGGAGGTGTTGAGAAGGAAGGGAGTTTAAAAGATGGAGAAAAAAGGGGTGGTGGGGTGGGGAGTCAGGCTGCGGGTGGCATGCCAAAGTGAGGGGTGGGTTAAGCAGAGGATGGGGAGTTTGGGAGCCGAGCACTACTGTTGGAGTGCGGTGAGCTCTGACGCCGGTCTATTGTGACGCCGGGTGCAGCTGTGCCCCACATACACACATACACACACACACACACACACACACACACACACACACACACACACACACACACACACACACACACACACACACACACACACACACACACACACACACACACACACACACACACACACACACACACACACGCACACACATGGCTTCCATTACTGCCTCGTCGCCGAGTTAAGATGAGGCGTACGCTCTCTCCACTGAAGGAGTCTGGGATCCTGCCAAACAGCAGCCAGCGCCAGTGTCGTGTGTGTGTGTGTGTGTGTGTGTGTGTGTGTGTGTGTGTGCATGTGTGTGTGTGTGTGTGTGTGTGTGTGTGTGTGTGTGTGTGTGTGTGTGTGTGTGTGTGTGTGTGTGTGTGTGTGTGTGTGTGTGTGTCCGTTTGTTGTTTCAACAACCTCCAAATTTCCAGCCTCTCACTTTTTACGTAAACTGATCATCATCATTATTATTCTTGTGTGTTTTCCTATCATAAATATTCTGAACTCACTGTTTCCTTTAACTTAAGGCAATGTTTGTTACTTCACACCATAGAGACACTGTATTTTCCCCTTACACTGTACATATATCTAATTCGTAGCTGCTTGTTTCTGGAAAAGAGTCAACATGATACAACTTTCTTTGCCTTCTGCTTCTTTGTCCATCTTGTAAATTGTACAATCATCAATTAAATTTGTCAGACGCGTTTTTAATAATCATTTTTGAATCATATTAACAGCTCTGACCTTTCACACAAATCCTTTTACATCATTTGCAACACTGGACGCACCTTAATGTGAGTGATAGGACTGGATGATCGCTTGTCGTTCTTCAGGTTGGATGGGGAGAGGGGGCCGGAGGAGATGTGAGCCTGTGGGAGGGGGGCCATCTTGGGTACTGGGGACATCTGCATGGTTGCCAGCTGGGCGGCATACAGCTGCTGCAGAAAGGGAAGAAACAAGCAAAACCGACAGTCTATTAAAAACCAGTCGCCAGCAGCTTTCCTTCTCCTTCCTCTTGTCTCCTATTCCCTTAATACTGTGTTTGTTCTGTATCCTGCTCCTTGCATCTTCTGAGGTAAGATGGCGGTGTGTCTGACCCAAACACACGCATTATTTACATGGAAACAAAAGTCCACCTTGACACCTAGCTCTTTCAGTTTCCAAAACAAATGGAAGATGTCTTTGACAAGTATTTATCAGGAGGCTTTCCAACAAAACATCTACTTATAAAAACGATTTCCATCATCCATCTTTGACACTTATTCATTCAGCAGACGCTCAGTAAAGCTTGAATATCGATTTGTATCTAGAATGAATCCAGACAAAAGCTAGAATGACGTCAAATAACATTTCAATGATTGAATCTAACCCTTTTTAATATATTTATCTATAAAATTGGATATCTATTTCCGTGGTTCTCCAGAAATATGAATATTAAAGCATGGAAACTCAGTGTTATACGAATAAAAGGCGTATTTATTCTCTTTTTTTTAAACAAGGTGAACCACAATGAAAATAAGCCCTAGGCAAGTTCTGTTTTTCTTATTGCATAATCTAATAAACTCTGTGTTTTCACAGCAGAGCCACAAATAAAATAGGTATTATTCAAATGAATAAAATAGCAAGAGTACTTTACGAATCTTAAAAACACTTGTCACATTTTGTTATTCTTTGATGGACAATTCAAACAATTCTCAATAACTTAGACAAATAGTGAACAATCATTTACGAGTGGGTGATGTCATAATGCAATTACTTATTAGTCGTGAGTCAATTGTAAAACACTTGAAAATAATGTAAAAATAACAGAAAACTATTAAAAAAAAAAAGACTTGGAAAGCGTAGGCAACTTGCCTTCACGGTTGGCCGAAACATCACATTTTGCAAGAAAAACTGCACAGAGTTTTCCATCCAACAAAAATCAAAGAGTCAAACGCTCGGCCCACAGTCCAGGGTCTTCTAAATCAAAGTTAGCTAGCCAGACAAACCGCTGCCTGAAACCACTGTCAACCCCTGTCTAAATGCATTGGAGTGTGAGAGCTGGAGTATCAAAGCGCTGTCCTCAGGAAAACCACCCAGACGTGCTGGCCTTCACTCACACTTCCCCCTCTCTTTCCTCTCGTTTCATTACTCTCACCTCATCTATACTCTCCCCCCTGTTCTCCTTCTCTCTTTTGTTCCCTCCTTTGATCTTCCTCTGACTATTTCCCTTTTTACTCTGTCTCCAAAATCAATCTTCATATCTTCTCCAACCCTCACCATCTCTGTGTCCAGTGGTGTAAAGTAACTGAGAACATTTACTCGAGTACTTTACTTAAGTACAATTTTGAGTACTTCTTTGAGTACTTTGTGATAATTGTTTTATCTGTAATACTTTTTTATGCATGCTTCTTAGGTAACATTAAGCTGTCTTTAGCTCTTTTCTGCTGTGACAATGTACATTTCCCCTCTGTGGGACGAATAAAGGTATTCTGATTCTGATTCTGAGGTACTTGTTCCTTACTTGAGTATTTCAATTTGTTGCTACTTTGTACTTCTACTCCACTACATTTCAGAGGTAAATCGTGTACTTTTACTTCACTACATGTATTTAATACCTTTAGTTACTTTACAGATCTGGATGAATGATGTGAAACAAAATCAACCCTTAAATCAGACTTTAGTTCCACCTGGAGTAAATTCACAAGCTACCCTGCAGTATACAAAGTCATTCAAACTAGCTGCACCTTTACCAGCTTTGAGAACACTTTAATGATCAATCATTATAAAACATATCATATATATTATTCTGAAATGGACCAATCTGCACAATGACTACTTTCACTTTTGGTACTTAAAGTATATTTTGATGCTGATACTTCTGTACTTTTACTTATAACATTTACTCGTATCAGAGTATTCCTACACTCTGGTACTTCTTCTTTTACTTAAGTTCAAGATCTGAGTCCTTCTCCCTCTTCTGTGTGTGTCTTTTCTCTCTCTGTTTTTACTATCTGCCCCCGCAGTCTGAACGGCCTCCAGTGTTGTGAGATCTGATTTCCCTGTAGTCAAAACTGCAAAGCCTCCTGGGACCTGAGATCCACAAGCAAAGATGGTGAAAAAGAGAGAAAGTGAGGGGGGCGGGGGGGGGGTTGATAGAGAGTGTTGCGCTGCAGACACACGAGACCACCGTCGCTTCACCGCCGGAGAGCCAGGGCTCAGCGGTTGGGGCCCAGAGAAATTGGCTGGCCCTCTTTCCACTTCTCTTTCGAAGCGATATTAAACACAAACAGAAGGGGCCTCGCCGTTGAAACAAAGCCCTGATGTCACGCCGCTTATTTTCCTTGGAAGGCAACAGGAGTGCTCTGGCCAACCCCTGGCGATATGAGACCCCCGTAAGAATGTGCCGTGAATGGCTGGTGGTGAGGCCTCTCGCGTCAATCAAGCCCACCGCAGAGTTACTTCTGGTGATGCCTGATATTCTTACAGCTCTGAGGGGAGCAGGGCCGACACACCGGGCTTTGAGGGTAAAACACACAGTTAGGGTCTCACACTCCTGCACAAACACACACAGATACTGGGTGCAAAGTTAACACACTCACTGGTATTGTGCTGGTGGAAGAAGTACTCAGATGTTTAGGTAAAAGTAATAATACTTTTACAAGTAAATATCCTGCATTCAAAATGGTACTTATAAGTAAAAGTACAAAAATCCTTCTTTTTTTTTTTTTAACACGGCTTAGTTTGAATACTTGATTCTGATATTTTAGAGGTTGTTAATACTCGCTAACAGACCATTGCTGAGGAGGATCAAGGGACTATATGCAGTCATATCAATCCGCAGAAAGAAGTCCGGGAATCTCAAATAACTCATTATCCAAAGTCGCCATTTCTGGTCAAATATATATACAATAATATAGCATTTTTACAATTAGTAATGCCTTAATGTATCTCTTCTTCAATTTGAAGATGGTATGTATGAGATAACATTAATAACTTTTTCATACTGCCAGTTATCTCCATCCATAACATCACATCATCAAATAATAAGAACCTGCAACTACAAACCAATGTTGTCAAATAAATGGTATTATTAGAAAATACAATATGTGCTACCAAAATGCAATAGAGTAGAATTATAAAGTAATATAAAATGGAAATACATGTACCTCAAGTATAGTATTTGTATACATTTACTTAATTACTTTCCACCACTTTCTGTCAGCAGTTCAAATGAGACGAGGGAACTGTTGAACTAACAAAAGGCGAAGCTTGTACTTTTTTTTGTATTACTCTGTTTCTCAAAGACAAACTGAGATTGATTGGTGACAAGGGGAGGCTAATGTGCAGCGTAAACAACCCCAACCAGAGCTCTCGCCATTCAGTCAACTCCCAAGGGAAGACAATGCCGCAATTTCCCAAATTACAAATTGACAAAGACGATCGCGCGAGTGCTAATTTGACTAATATCCAAATGATTAGTCTGTCATTTCTGGCCTTCCTGATCATCATAAGGTTTTAAAACGTCTACTTTGGCCAGGAAGCAGAGAAAAGGCGATATCGTTGTAGTTTCAGTGTGGGCAGCGCTGTCCGGACTGCTGTATTGTACCGTGCCAAAAAACCTCCTCTGTGCTCAGGCCAACCTGTCCCATTAGGACTGAGTGGAGAATCCCTTTAGCCGGCCTCTTTTAGTGTCGAGCTGCTATCGATCTCAGGAGTACACAAAACAAATGAGGTTTTTGTCTTTTTCAGCAGGTTTCCGTTAGGAGGAGGAGGAGGAGGGAGAAATGGATCGACTGCCACTAAGCTGGCCCACACAGAGGGAGGATGGAGGCTAAATATTGCACTTGGAGGCTCACTCTGCATCCAAGACAGTGAAAGGGAAACATTGAGAGGCAGGCTGCATAAAGACAATCTCACTTCCACTTCTCTTTTGTGGAGCAGATGCTTAGTTTTGTAAGTCGAGACAAACAACATTGATTGCCTTCCAATCATTGTCATCTCTTTATGAAAAGAAAGTCGTGACATGGTGTATTCCTCACCGTCGTCTCCACGCCTCAAACACAGGAACAGAAACAGGCAGAAACATAAGAGACTGACAACGAGAGATGTCTTGAGATGATTTCAACATAAAGGTTGGCTAAGCAACTGTATTTCCCTCGACAAAGGGGGCCTTTCTTCAGCAGGAATCCTCTGTTTGTGAAGGGGTCTGCTCCGAGGCTCTCGAAACAATTGGTCTGATCGAGTTCCCACGCTGATAGCACGACAATGTGCTATCAAAACTCTCATGTCAGGTTATGATGGGTCAAGTACCATCAGCCAGTCTGGCAAACATTTGAAAGATGTGTTCAATTAACTGAGGTATAAAACAAAGTAAATTATTGCTTTTAATGTCTGAACGTGTCTTTTCCAATGCTTTTTGTGATTTGGTAAACCTCTTGCAGCATTTGTAAGTATATTTACTGTTCAGAGACTCTTATTTTGAAATCGGCTGTTTCCTTTTCCTGTTTATGCCTTTGTGCTTGTTAGTTGGGAAGCTGCTGTTGTAATGTTTATGTGGCACAATAACTTACTTCTCTCTCCTTTTTATGGCATTGCATTATTTATGTGATGATACAAATATCTGTAGTCAGTTGGCTGCTAAACCTACTCTTTTTAGCTTGTCCACAACTTGTGGCATTAGGCGCTAAGCTAACTAGCTAAGGTAATAAGTTAGCATTGCAAGCTAGCTCTGTATTGATGTGTACAGACCAACACAGTCTCACGGCATTTCGTGTTATAGTCACGAAATTAATCTTTTGATTCGTGTTCACCAACACGATTTTCCCATTTTTTTCGTGTCACACAGAACGATTTTAAAAGCAATGTAAATAATAACAAATTAGAAGGAAAAACAGATTTAAAAAAATACAGATTTCAGTATTCTGACACAGAACGATTTTAGAAGCAATGTATTTAT